TGCATCTCTCGGCTTTTGAAATCTTGATCGTTGTTCTGATTATGAATATTGTTCTTTACTGCTTCGTTTTTTAGTTGCTGAATCTCGTCTTTAAACTTTTCCGCTTCAACTACTTGCTGCGATACTTGATCTTTGAGCTGTTTATGTTCCTTTATGAGTGGAATGAGAACTGGTCGCAAAATTTGATAGCTACAACTAGCCAAATGATTATCAAGTTGTCCACGTACTCCTGTCCATGGACACATAATGTCTGCTGCCAAACAGACCACAGGACATGCAGCAGTAACATGTCGTTCAAAATCGTTTCGCTCTAAGTCAATTTTTCCACACTTCATGCATTTCACACGAATCCTACCAAGCATATTTCGCACAATACGACTAGCTTGCGTTAGCTCATGAATTTGAAGCGATCCCCGGCACGTGGGACATGAATGATTATTTCTTTGAACCCATTCTGTTATGCAGCTTTTACAAAATATATGATCACATGGTGTACATCGCGGATCCTCGAGCGGTTTATTACAAATGATGCATATTAGCTCATTGTCGATGGAACCTTCATTCATATACTCGTAATGAAGGCTATTTAACATCATCTAGCGAAAAATAAAGCGAGATGAGAAAAGTCTTTTGATAAGTCTCAAGTGTAGCATCATCAAAGGCGTGCGCAAACAGATGTTTGATTACAAAAACCCTTTTACGAGGGTGTGGGTGTGAGTTTAGGTGACGATAACATTCACATCCCGCACCTGCTTATTTATTGAAGAAAATTTTTATCGTAGCATAGTAGAAAGCATTTTTAGATATTTCCATTGGCAATCTTTTGAAAATGAAAGCTTTTTCAAATGATAATGATGGTACTACAAACAATACAAAAAACTTCGATTTCATGAAATAGAATACTCACCTTTTTTGATGTCCTACCAGAATTTTACGTATACAATGTTGCAAAATAAAAGTTGAATAGTTTTTTTTTTCTTGCACTTGTGCTTGTTATCAGAGTTATCTCGACTAACGAACATGATAAGCAAACAGGCATGCTTTTTATTCGTTGCATTCGTTTTTATAATCGTAAGCGCCATGCAATGAATCTCGAATAGGTTTCCACGAAATAAAAAAGCAAGAAACGATGTTGGGTTGGAGTTTTGCGCTAGAGTTATGTTGAAACAGTTCAGAATGACAAAAAATTGCATTTGTCTCGTCCCATGATATAATCGTGTGATTCAGTTCAACGCCTCCGTATTCAAACAATATTCTACCTATGTTATGCTAGACTGCGCTACTACAATAGCATGCTTCAGATTGTGGATGGATGAAGACTGTCACCCACACTGATACCTAAAATATTGCCCTAGAAAAATGTCCATAGTAGAACCCTTTCTATTCAAGTGAGAACCATAATTAAAATTCACCAATTCTAATCACAAATATGATTAAAAGATCTTTTCACATTAGCAAACCTAAGACTGTAACAATTATTTCACTGATACAATTTTCGACTAGAAAAATGTTAAATAATGTTTAGCCTGTTTGTGAAAGTTTTACTAATAGGTCAAGCAGTTTGTAGTTCGAAAAAAGACTGAGCGTCGGGGATGAGTCTGTGTAGGTGTATATGAGTGTAAGTCTTTCTTACTTCAAACGAACATCGAGAGCTACGCGAACATTCCACACTCACACTATCACAGGCTTGATTTTACAATTTGTAGCAGTGGAAAAGTGGACAGATATAGGCGAAGAGAAGATCCTTTCGTTCTGCTTGACCAAATGATAATCATTCGGTTCCGACTTTAAGATAGCAGTTTTCATTTTATTTCATGAGTCACAATAAGATCGAATTACAGAATGAGCCGTTGACTTTAACTAATTAACATGAACTCGTATAAGATGTAGCCTTTCTTTAAAAGGAAAAAACTGTTAGTTTAGAGACTTCTTGATTCATAAAGAGTAGAAGATATATAGGATAGAGAGTTTTTACTAAAAAAAGCTAAGTTCCTATCGATTGACAATTACCAACTCTACCGGTAAGATGAAGTCCACCGTCGATAGGCAGTCTCACACCAGTTATGAATGGACCACGAGATGAGCACAGAAAAAGGCTACCACTTCACCAATTTCTCATGGTTGCGCCCATCAGAGATGGACAAAATCGCACCGCGCCTCCCCGCGCCGTTGCTCACGCCTACGCTACACTAGTCTGAGCTTCGATGAGCGCATGCTTAGAGCATCCCGGTATTCGGTGGAGTTTGAGAAACTGATTGGTAGAGCAAAGAGAAAGAGAGATGTGCGTAGCGCCTAGGCGCGAGCAGTGGCGCGGGGAAGCGCGGTGAGGCGCGGTGTGATTTTGTCCATCTCTGGCGCCCATCATCCAGCTAGCAAATTCTTTACTAGAGTCTCGACGATGTTGGAGGACACTGTGCTTTTCTGAATAAGGCGAGAGGGTGGATGTAAATGTGAGTGTGAATTTTAATCTACACTTCACTCACATCCACACTCACGCTTCTTTTTATATTGCGATGTCAAAGCATGTAATCATTTGTTCGAGCCTTTATATGAAGCGTTGCCAAATGTTTAACTTTTCGCTCATCATAGCACATAAAATACCACCAACAGTTAGGCAATGTTCTCTAGCGAAGATAGATTCATTCGAGGGATAAAACAGCTGAGAATTGTTCTGTTTCTGCTGACAATAAGATAAAATGAATATTCAAGAAGAACTGTCAACAGATTTTCTTAGTTTTAGCTCTGACATGACAAGATAAGTACTGAGAAGAGCAAGGTAATCCTTTTGATTAAGACCTCGTTCATATTCAGAATTTTTGCAGCTAATAGCAAATGAACTGTTTGAAAGAACATGGATTGAACAGAAAGGATGAGTGCAGAAATGTACTCAGCTCTAAAATCTAGCAAGTAATGAGTATTCAATAGGCCACAGCTGGCATCTGTGCTATTATATTGACCGTTCTCCGAAAGTTTAAAAGTACTGATTTTCCTGGTGCTTATGCAAGACTCTTCTAGCTTGTCTTTTTCATTTGACTTGTAATGTATGCACTACAAAATACGCTAGTGTCATCAGCGAAAAATCGAACCTCGACGTGCGAAATTTATAGATAATTGTAACATCCAAGATATTCAGAAGAAAAATACATTTTTTGACTATGGTTCGCTCTATATAGTTAATCATGATGACCAAAAAAGTAGAAGAATGCGTGATGATAAGCATTTTTCATGTTCACAAGAGCTGAACTAAAGCTTCAACATTGCTGTCCATTTTTCCACTGCCCCACCCATGTTGTTCCATCAGCCCAAATAAAAGTACCATGTCCCGTCCTCTGATCTTCTTTCCAGTCTCCAGTATATTTGTTTCCATTTGGCCATGTGTAGGTACCATGTCCGTGTTTCATATCGTTCTTATATTGTCCTTCGTATTTGTCACCAGAAGCCCATGTAAAAGTACCCATACCATGTTTTTTATCGTTCATCCAATGTCCAGTGTAAACGTCTCCGTTCGAGTAGGTGCGAATTCCTTTTCCTTCCATGTTACCTTTCTTCCATTGCCCTTTATAAGTAGCACCATCAGACCATGTATAAGTACCTTTACCATGCATTTCTCCATCTACATATTCTCCTTTGTACTGATCGCCACCTTTCGATTTCCAAACAGCTTTCCCTGTCCGTTTGTCATCTTTCCAATCACCTTCATATACACTTCCATTAGCAAAAACGATTTTTCCATGTCCATATCGATTGCCATTTTCCCATGATCCTTCGTAGCGGTCTCCATCAGCCCAAATAAAAGTACCTTTTCCCGTCCTCTGGTCTTCTTTCCAATCTCCACTATATTTATTTCCATTCGGCCATGTATAATTACCACGTCCATGTTTCATATTATTCTGGTATTGGCCCTCATACTTGTCTCCTGATTTCCATGTTTGTACTCCGGTTCCAGTTCGTTGACCGACTACGAAATCTCCAATATATGTTGTTCCATTAGCCCAAATGAAAGTACCTTTCCCCGTTATTTGATCCTCTTTCCAATCTCCAGTGTATTTATCTCCATCCGACCACGTAAAGCTACCATATCCATGTTTCATATCATTTTTATATTGGCCTTCGTATTTATTGCCAGAAGCCCATGTAAAAGTACCCATACCATGTTTTTTATCGTTCATCCAATGTCCAGTGTAAACGTCTCCGTTCGAGTAGGTGCGAATTCCTTTTCCTTCCATGTTACCTTTCTTCCATTGCCCTTTATAAGTAGCACCATCAGACCATGTATAAGTACCTTTACCATGCATTTCTCCATCTACATATTCTCCTTTGTACTGATCGCCACCTTTCGATTTCCAAACACCTTTCCCTGTCCTTTTGTCATCTTTCCAATCACCTTCATACTGATTTCCATTATGAAAAACCATTTTTCCATGTCCATGTCGATTATCTCTCTCCCATGATCCTTCGTAACAGTCTCCATCAGCCCAAATAAGAGTACCTTTTCCCGTTCTCTGACCTTCTTTCCAATCTCCACTATATTTATTTCCATTCGGCCACGTGTAGCTACCGCGTCCATGTTGCGTATTATTCTGGTATTGGCCCTCATACTTGTCTCCCGATGCCCATGTTTGGACTCCAGTCCCAGTGCGTTCACCGGCTATGAAATCTCCAATATATGTCGTTCCATTAGCCCAAATAAAAGTACCTTTCCCCGTTCTTTGATCCTCTTTCCAATCTCCAGTGTATTTATTTCCATTCGGCCACGTGTAGCTACCACGACCATGTTTCTTACCATCGTCCCATTGGCCAAAGTACTTATCTCCTGATGCCCATATTCGGATACCTTTTCCGTGGAATTCGTTGTCTTTCCACTCGCCAGTGTATTCACCATCATTCAACCATTTATATGTACCCTCACCATGCTTCTTGCCGTTTATTGTCTGCCCGTAATATGTATCTCCATTAGGAAACTTTGTTGTGGACTTGGAACCGGTCGACACATTGACAGCGGTTGCATTCGAATGTAGAGCATTAAACGAGTTCGACTTGATTTGTGGAAGAAAATTTGCTGATGAAGTAACGTCTGCATATGAAGTGAGTTTAGGTGTCCTTGGAGTAGTAGAAAAGTTGGATTGGTAGTTGTGCGTTGTGTTGTGCGTAATTTTGTGTGGACTAATTGTGTTGCCAGTGATGGGCGGCAATTTTGTCAATTCTTCATATCGTGCCATTTCATCTAAATGGATTACATGGAGACCATGTAATTCGAATGGGTCTCCAACAACTTTCAATCGTGTCCCGGGTAACAATATTAACTCTTCTTCATTTGGATAACTTGAGTGTTTATCTATACATTTACCATTCTTGCAATTTATCATTAATAAAGTGTTCTGTCCCATTTCATGCATAAAATCTTGGGCTATTTTAATATTCATTGTGCAAGATGTGACACGCCACCATGTTATTATTTTCCCTTTTGCGAACTGATGGGAGTTGTCCCGCGTAATATCTTTGTTTATGCCACGCCAGATTTGCGTTTCACAGGATGGCAATTTATTGACAGATGCATGAAAAAGTTTTAAATACAGAAACCATGGCTTGAGTTTATATCTTTGTTCATTTTGAATGATCTCATTTAGTGTTCTGTAAAGACCGATATTTTCCAGTGTATACAAATAGATGCATCCTGATTCATCGGGTGTGAG